TGTGTGTGTGTGTGTGTGTGCACTTCTCTCTCTCTCCCTCTCTTTCTCTCTTTCTCTTTCTCTCAGGCTTTCGTTTCTATTTCAACAGAGTTACTTCGCATTACAGCGCTTTCTATACATCGATCGATACCGCCTAAACGGCATAGAAAATGGCATGAGTCGGCATTGAACACGCAGTACCCACAGCTAGACTAAAGTATTTGAAGCGCAACGATTCCCTTAAGCGGTTGGCGTGGCGAATGAAAGACAGAGACATAAGAATTTTCAACGAAAGCCAGTTACGTAGCGATGTTCTCTTGCTGTTCTGTTTTTCACAAACTTTTCTGATTTGGGAGAAGAGGGAACCGGTGACAAATTTCAAATTTATCACACGACTCGGCTTCGTGTTTCAACGTGACACTTACGGTCGACTTGCTGTCCAATATGGTTCTATTCAACGCACCGTCCACACTTGGTTGATACTCGTCTGGAATATTTTCGTCGATATCCTCTTCGGTCTAAGGCAGACACGAGTTTCACGATCAAGTCTCCATAAAAATAAAATATTATATCTTTGTCGTAAGTCCTGAACGAGTCACGAATAAAGTACTTACGTTCCAATCGATAGGCTCTTCGCCGTGGTGATGCCTGTGAGGATGTTCCGGTACATTTGCTTTGGGAGAATTCGTCTCCGGCATGAAAGTTGGCGGTACTTGCGAGTCATCGCTGTCTTCACCGTCCTCGCCATCCTCGCCGTCTTCGCCTTCCTCCCCATCGTATTCGATGTCATAATCATCGTCGTAATTCTCGTAGTCCGGATTACTATAGTGTCCAGAACCACTCTCCCTTCTGTTTCTCAGCAACAAGCTTGATTCCGTCTTCACGCGCCATAACAGAACCGGAAGTTGCATCACTTCCGCCAGGGTGCCGTCTTTCGCTTGTTCCCGCAGATGTTTCACCAAATCCGTCTGATGCCTCCATAAATGGCCGTCGCAGCCGACCTTCCAATCGAATTCAAACATGGAACGTTAGCTTTAATTATCATCGGTAATAAAATCTTCGTCTCCTTTTAAAAACATTAGAGAACTCTTTTTTAAAGAAATATTACAAAGAGAACTCGTTTTTTTCTTAGGAAAAAAAAAAAATTGCAGAATAGTTTAAAGATAAGAATACAAGAAATATGAAAGAAGAGTCTTACCTGCCATTGGACCGCCGTAAGGTGCTTCTCCTTCCGGTGTTTCACGTTCCCTGGTCCGCTGAGGATCACGGTGGAATCGTCGTTGAAGCTTTCCTTGACGTTTTGCGGATGCATCGAGAACGCGCTCTGAAAATTCGAACAGTGGATGAGGGTCCCGGCGAATGAACAACGGGAGGCGAATTTTTTTCCGTGAGTGAGCAGGCAACGTGAGTAATGACGGGGAATATTCGCGCTTCCCCGATTTCAATTACGTCGAGCACTCTAATCGCACAGAAAATAGGTTTTCGATCGCCGCGACTCGGCCGGGGGACGCAAAAATTCCACGGGACGCAATTAAATCATCCTCAATGGCGGGAGATTCAATCTACGTAATCGAATTGATTATTCGGACGAAATGAATTTCTCCGGCGCGATGCAATTTCCCGTGATTTAAGTGCCGCGACTCGTTCCCAGATCTTTCCTCGGGGTAACCGGGATGTGTGCGGAGCTGTAATTCTCCATTCAAGCACTTCTCCATATCGTGTGCCACGATCCTTTAATGAGAATGAAATTTCAAAATTGCGTTACGTTAATTGCTCCGTGAGGGTGAGTGATTCTTATAAAATTACCGATTCAGTTCATTCCTCCAAAACGAAGGAAGATACGAAAAAATCGTCTGGGCAAAAGATGTGTACGATGGTGTTCTAGGATCGAAATATCTCTTTCCTGAAACAGAGCATCTTTCGTTCGAACAATTTTTTCGTATCTTCTTCCATTTTTGGAGAAAACTCAATCGGGTCAGTTCCCACCACGCGAACTCTTAGCAATACTCCAACTTCGTGTCTCTGAGCCATGGAAAAAAAACACTAATATATCTGTATCCTTTGTATCGTCTAGCCTGAATTGTAGCCTGAATTGTTTAATGCGCGCTCGTAAAAACTGGAAACTTCATTCATTCATTGGGACGACAGCGGAACAAAAAACAGAGGAAAGAAATTGGACAATGTCTTGCCAACGGTAAGAACATAGTAATAGTGGGATTGAAATAGAGAAGAAGGAACTCCGCGTACAGGAACAAGCGTAGCGGAGGAAGTTCTACAGTCCACGTGCATACAAAAAGAGCGTGTTCCTTTCTTCTTTGCGGCGATTGAATTAATTAAGAATTCCCGGGGCGTGGTAGGGGGGGGGGAAAGAAGAAAAAATGGCGGCTCGCTCAAAGGCGTCCAATTTATGCTCGACGGGAACCTCTCGGCCGGGGATACTTTAGAACTTGAGTATTTTCTGTATTATGTCGGGTACGCGATGCATCTTCTATTCCGCGCCGCTGGGCTGGTCTAACGTTCTAAAGTTTGCCCTCTCGTAAAGAACCTGGCGTTCTGCTGGCCTAAACTTTATCAAATATTCTTCGCTGCGCCGCGAAGCGTTACTCGCCGTTTTCCACGAACTCGCGGAAATTAGGACAGATTCATGATTTCTCGCCTCTTCCCGATTAAAACCCCCCGCCCTGTTCGGTTTCGGCTTGTTAACGAGCCACGCGGATTTATAGATTTCTTTTTTCCCGATGTTGCGCGACGTGCGATGAGATAAATTTGTGACGGTGAGAAATCATAAAAATTGAATTCATAGAATCGGATGATGTATTCGATATTCTGAATTCAACTGTACGTGTTATACATTATTGTCCCAGTAACTATGCTCTATCTCGAACATCTCCGTTATTTTCTGGCATACGAAAAACATTTCTTATCAACGAAAGTTATTAGACTTTATCATGGCACTAATGAGCTTTTTTTGTTTTTTTCCTTTTTCATTCGTTAATCATTAGTTTGGAAGATACTTTAATTTTAATTTTGTAAAATCTAGGCGTGAAAACTAAGGACAGTATGAATATAAGAATACTGTACTTTTCTTTCGTACAATGAATTCTTAAGATTAAAATATTTTCTAAACTGACAATGCGTATATATTAAATTGTCAAATAACAATACCTTGTCTAATAGAGAACGTAGATGAAAAAACATGTCATTCTATCTAAAAAAAAAGATTCTGAAATCCCTATAGAAAGATCATTACTATCACATAATGGGGCTCTCTGAATAATTTTCGTTAACAAAATTTGTTCACATCTTCGAGAACAACGGAGACATTCAAAGTGGACAGAAAAGTTACTCAAACAGCCTGTGTACTTCAGGGTTCGTTTCAACGTTGTAAAGCCAATTGGCATGGACAGGAAAGTTAGCAGAGATATACGATCGACGTGTATGCGTCGGAACTCGGCCGAGAGAAGTTCCTCGGGTCCCGTTGAAATCAAGTTTCGACTTCTCCTCGATCTTCTGCACGATGGCCAGAAGCCACGGAGAGCGATGACAATATCGTACCACGTGAAGTCCCAGAAACCCTGCTAGGTTCTCGATGGTGTTGACTCGAGTGGCCGGCGAGAGGTTGTCGAACCTGGCATCCAGCAGTATCGTCAGCAGCGTCTGTTCTTCCCCTTCGCTGCAGTGTGTCTAAAATCAGAAAGAGGCATGCCCGTTTCAGCTGGCTGGGTCGAGAACGAGAGACGCACTGTGCGAAACGCGAGGAATTAAGGCCACTCCGCTCGAACAATACTCAGCCGCGATGGCGCGCAATACACACGGGATTATCAATTGGCATCAATCAACAACAGTCTGCAAGACTAATTTCGCGGCGAGATTTAAACGCTACGTTATCGATGGAATCGCGCGGCACGCGGCTAGCTTCTCCTCTTCTATTCGCTGCACTCGAACGATGAATTACTTCCTTCATTCGAGTGTTCTTTTATTTTGAAATTGGCCCTAGTCCATTTATCTTTGAATCAAGATATTTAACGATTTGCGTTTTGATAAATTTTTAGAAATATTGGCAACTCATGACATGGTGGTATTTAATGTCCTTTCAAGGGCGTATATATATAATTTACCAATCCAATTAGTATGATGAACATTGTTTAGGAAATAACACGTTTTTTGCTGGCTATGTATGGACTCGAGCCACTTTCAAAATTAATAAAATTAATAAAATAACTTTTTTAATTTTTAAAAAGGCTTTTTAAACAACTTTTGTGTTATAAAATTAAAAAATTAATTAAACAACTTTTATTCACTATTAAAGAAATGTCATACATTCAAATGATATTTCGTAATTTATAATTCATCGTTCGATTATGGTGGTATATACAGATGGTATATAGTGTAATATGTTCGTTATATCGTATTTTAGTGTTGCCATTGGTCTTACATTTTTGTTCAATTCAATATTATTAAAGTTTCTCGGTCTCAACTGACGCGGAGTTTTGAACAATGCATTCTCATTCATTGATGTTTCATAGAATATTTTATATGGTTCTGTTCTCAAAACTCGCAACATATTTTTAACCAATTTACCCTTTCTCTATTAGTATTTTTCAACCTTCTAAAAACCGCAAGTCCTCCAGAGATTTCGTAGAAATGAAAACCTCTATATTTAATGGAATTATTATTATTTAAAAAAATCACTATCTGAGCTAATCGAACAAGAAATAGAGCTCTTATCTTATAAAACTTTACTACATAATATACTTCATATCAGTTCGAAACTTTTAAAATGGGACTTAAGCCACTTTCAAAATAGAAATCTTCACTCATTCCATTAACCAGCGAGTTTTCTGTGTGACAAAATATCAGTGATTTTAAATGTACCAGTTACAATTTGTTTAAAAATGAAAACATAACGCAGAAATATAAATGTTGGTAAAACAGCTGGCTCGATTTTTCTGGAAAATCGAACGGCTCATTTATCGAATATCATTCGTACTTTGTATATATTACGTACTCTTGAATATTGCGTGAAATGTTCTTACTTTACTTCAAACGAAGAACTTTCTACTTTACAGAATTATTAATTGAATTATTATGGAAGAAATTGAACGTAGAAAATGACGATATCGTGAAAGAATTATTGGCTTCGGATTTTACGTGAAAAAAATTGGAGACACTTTTTTTTTTTTGAGATCGCGTGCGTCGAAGGATGAAATCGAGTTTGCACGTTTAATTAATCGGTGCTAAACGGTTCAAAAAATGGCGCCGGCTCGGTGGAATCGGCGGACGTGACCGGTTCCTAGGTAACCTCGCAACGAAAGTTAAACGGGGCAATTTCGCCCAACGGTTTAACGAGCATGCCACCGAGGCCAATTAATTACCTCGAGCTGCCGAAAATCGGCCAGATCCGATTAAAACGATCAACGCGTCGCACAAAAGTCAAACCTCGATATGCCTGTTGTTGTGTCGGATCGACGCGACGCGACGCGACGCGACGAAACCGATTAACGTGCTAATTGATTTACCGCTTCATTAACAGCTTCGGTCTGACTCACCGAGTTTAGCAACAAACGAGCGAACTCCGATCAACCTGAATGATCCGATCGATCGTTTCAAATGAATAACGGCTTATAATTATGTTCTAACGAAACGATTTTTAACAACAGAGATCTATCACAGCCTCTTTCTCTCGACAGAGAAAAATATATTTTTCCAGTACTCTAAAAACGTAAAAAGTACTTTAATACTTTAGTAAAAAGTACTTTAGTACTCTAAAAAATACTCTAAAAAATTATTATTTCCTTTCTTCTTCTTCATTTTATTTTCACCATTTGAAGTTGTATGAACCAGTCGTTAGCGACTTGGAATTAAATCTTGCAATTTATTACAAAGGTTGTCATTCGGGGAAGGACTAATGTTCTAAACAGTTGATGTCTATTCGCGGTGTATTTTAACATGTTCAATTGTCAGTCGAACTTTGCACAAATCGCATATTGAGGGATCTTCTTTTTCAAGGAGATACTAATGAGCGTGTGTTATTGTTGTTCCAAATAAAACATACGATCTATTTTATTCCTTTCGGAGGAATATAACTATCATCTAACATAGTGTTACACTATCAATTCCAAAAGAGATCTTCTTGATTTGAAGAACCACTGAAGAACGATTTGTTATTATTTCAAATATCCAATATCATTATCAATACCAAGAGAGATGTTTTTCGATTCGAAAGAGTTACCGTACCGAACGGAACGGTTCGAGAGGCCGGTGGCAGAAGTACGAAGCTGGCCAACAGGTTGCGAGTTCCCACGATTAATTCTGGTAGTGGCAGAAGAGCTAGTGGTACCTGTTGTTCGTCCAGGAGCCAGTTGAACCGTTGCCAATGGAGTGCCTCCATCGTTAACGATAAAGCCTGGCAACGCGGTGCTCGAGGGAACTTCTGGCCAAATGTATAAGGAACTCACCTTTCCGTTCCTGTGCTTCAATTCCTCGTGCTTCTCCGGAATCACTTGCACGACGAACAGGTCCTTCGTCTCGGCTACGTCGTGCTTTGGCACCACTTTCACGCTCAGTACGCGTCTACCCACGTCCTTCTTCGTCGGGACGCCCATCAGAGTCGACGCTGCGTCGTCCCAATACAACCATCGTAGCAGCTTCCCGTCAGTGTCGAACAGCTGCTTGCAAAACATACGGAATTTCTATTAAAAGTTTGGAGACTCGCTTTCTAATGAAATGTATCGATTAAATCTTATATATATTATATATTATCATATCTTATATTGTGTATTATTATATTATCACATGCCATGTGATATCTTTATTAAATATGATAAACTTTCAGGGATAATTTCTAAATTCTCGAAACTCTTGGAAGTTGAAGTTTTTCCCGTCAGGGTCGAACAACTGTTTGCAAAACATACGGAATTTCTATTAAAAGTTTCGTCGCGCTGTTTGGAGACTCGCTTTCTAATGAAATGTATCGACTAGATCTTACATATATTATATATTATCATATCTTACATTGTGTATTATTAAATTATCACATGCCATGTGATATCTTTATTAAATATGATAAACTTTCAGGGATAATTTCTAAATTCTCGAAAAACTCTTGGAAGTTGAAGTTTTAAACAATTAAACGGAAACGAAACAACGCACAGACAGATGTTTAATGGAGGTTCCTGTTTGACATCCGAACTCTTTCTGGATTATTATTCAGTCGAATGTAGCGAGAAAAACTCTCCAGATTCGGATATTTGGCGACCATGTGCTTAAAAACAAAAACCGATCATCGAGCGTTTGCGACCGAACATTTGAGATGCACATGCACGAGTCGGAAATTCTTTATTTACGCTGCCGATATAATTCTTCATCGATTAATTTTATATACTTTCCTTAAGTCGAGTTTCGAATTGCGAAGTTCCAAATTTTCGAAACTTTCGAGAGCTTTCGATGTTTCGAGTAACTCTTGCTCTCTGATTTTTTTTTTTTTACTTCATTCTAATTCTACTGTCGATCGTCAATAATCAACGTGATAATGAATTATGTGCCCCGACGAGTTCGCAGATAATTTCTATCTCTCTGGCAAAAGGAAATGAAACAAGTCTCTAGCCGAGTTATTCTGTCGTCGCCCGATCGCGCTCTGTCTGTGCCTGAACGTCCAATTTCACTTACCGGCTCTCGCTATACACTTATTTAGTTCTTTGCCGGATGAATGGTTTTTTGCTTTCGCGATAACTTCGACGTTAATTAACAGACTGTTTATTCTATCTCTCTGCTAAAAGCAGAGTTACTCTCGCGACTGTGTGTCGAGCAAATGAATACAATTTGCGTAACGTGAGCAAATTACAGACTGGAGAAGCGAAAATACGGAAAACTCATGAAACCAAGATGGCGGATGTTGCCTCGAGTTTACATCAGCCGCGATTTTCATCATTATCGCGGCTATTTCAAACAAACGTGCGAGCAAAGAGTCAAGAGATCCCGCAGATGTGATGTGGATTTTTATTTTCGTCGATGCTGCGATGACCGTA